GTGTGTGTGTGTGTGTGTGAGTGTGTGTGTGTGAGTGTGTGTGTGTGTGTGTGTGTGTGTGTGAGTGAGTGTGAGAGAGTGTGTGAGTGAGAGTGTGAGTGTGAGAGTGTGAGAACTGCGTTAGGCTAACCGAGACTTGTCATTTGCACTTACATATTGTTGCTCTTTTGTTAATTTGAATTGCTTCTATTGTCCTTGTGCTTTGGGTAAAAGCGTCTGCTAAATGACTAAATGTAATTGTAAGAATGTAAATGTAATTGGACAAATTAAAACACAAAAACACTGTTAATTCATGTATTCAAATGTGGTTAATAATAAATTAATCATTATGCATATTTGAATCTGAAAATGTTATTGCATTTTAAAACTTGAATTAAATGAACAGTTTTAAATATGTTGGTTAATTTGTCCATTTAAAAGTGTTTTATTTCCGTTTATATGTTTGCATAATTAAATAGACCACTTCTTCCTTCACTTTTATTTTTAAGCGTCACTTCTCTTAAGGATCTGTAAAGTGCTCGGATCCTGATTCTGCTGAGGAAGACGTCTCGGTGTAGTTTGCTGAATCACGTCACCTGACTGTCTGTGTTTGTCTTCTCAGGGTATTGTGTTGCTAAATGGAGTCTGAGCAGCTGTTCAACAAAGGCTACGGCAGGAACAGCTACAACAGCATCACCAGCGCCAGCAGCGACGAAGAGCTCCTCGATGGTGCCGGCGTCATCATGGACTTCCACACCACCGAGGATGACAACCTGCTCGACGGGGACGCGTCTCCAGGTACAGCAGGCGCACATCTGATGCTCCTGAGCCTGCTCCTCACTTACGAGCCTTAATTATGATTTGAGGTGCTTTCAAGTGGTTTGCTACCTTTTAGCAATAATACGCATTTTTTTTGCGCTAATACAAGAACCCCTTTGACCGAAAATATTCCCTTGATGTACTTCCTGAGATTTTACATTGATATTTTAATAATTTAACAACACATTCACATTTTCGTGATTGTTCTTTGATGTCGGTTAATGGTCACATGACATGCAGGTAAACAAAAAAATATATTTAATATTTTTAATAAGTAATATTTAATACATTGAATATAATGAATATTTTTATATTAACATATGTATATATTTAAAAAATGCTAAATCTACAATAAGATTACATTAGTTAACTGCATAAGTTAACATGAGCTAACAATGAAAAATGCAGGTAAACAAAGAAATGAATATTTCTAATTATATTCAATATTTAGTCATATTCAATTATAATACATATTAAATAATTATTATATTTATAATGTTTTATATGAATATTTTTAATATGTCAATATTTTATATTTATAAAATACATTTAATTTATTTATTTTTACATTTATTATTATTTTTTAATGTAAAATATATTTTTTAAATATTTAACATTTTTAAAATTTTGGAAGAGTTTTAGCTTAATTGTTTTTATTTTTTAAATATTTATTTTTAATTTTAGTTTTATGATTTATTTAATTCAATCATTTTAAGTCAAATCAACTTTAATTCTATAGCACTTTATTCAATACAGACTGTTCCAAAGCGGCTTTACTGTGATAAACAAGACAATAACGATTCAGTGATGCAAACAGAATTCAGCTTTGCTGTAAAGCAGCTCTAATAAGACAAATGTAGACAGTCATTATTCGGTTGAAATCAGATCATTGTTGATTCAGTTCAGTTCAATAACTATAAAGTCATTGGCTTTCTGTCATCTACTCACAAATCCCAGTTTGGGAAACCCTAATGAAAAAAATATCATTGCATATTGTAATTGTTCATCAAAATGTAATAACCAGCTGCGCCTCTGAAACGACTCTCGTTTTTAAGCCCCTCCTCTCTGGCCTTCTGCCTTCATTATAGTACATAAGACCTCATTTTCATGATCCAGTCAATTTTTTTTCATGTTAAATATTCTGTTTCACCCCATATTGGAAGTTAAATGGAATGCAAATGCAGTTTCATAATAAACCAGATGAGTAAAGTTTGAGAACAAACTTTGAAGTTGGCTCGAGAAAGCCTAGCCTGAAAGTTTGAAGCAGTTGTAAAAGCTAAATGTTGATAGCATGTTGTTAGCATGATTTAACACATTGTTAATAAGACTTAACATGTTTGCTAGCATGTTTTAGCATGTTGTAAGCATGTTTTACCATGATTAGCATGTTGTTAACATGTTTGCTAACATGTTTCTGACATGATTAACATGCTGTTAACATGTTTCTAGCATGATTAGCATGTTGCTAGCATGATGCTAACATATCTTTAGAATGATTAGCATGTTGATAACATGTTTCTAGTAGAATTAGCATGTTGCTAGCATGTTTCTAAGATGGTTAACATGTTGTTAGCATGTGGCTAACATGTCTTTACCATGATTAGCATGTTGATAACATGTTTCTAACATGATTAGCATGTTGCTAGTATGTTGCTACCATGTTTTAGCATGATTAGCATGTTGCTAGCATGTTTTAGCATGATTAGCATGTTGTTAACATGTTACCATGATTACCATGTTGCTAGCATGATGCTACCATGTTTTAACACAATTAGCATTGTTGTTAACATGTTTCTAGCTTGATAAGCATGTTGATAACATGTTTCTATCATGATTACCATGTTTGTAACATGTTTATAACATAATTAACATTGCTAGCATGTTGCTAACATGTTTCCAGCATATTTCTAACATGATTAGTATGTTGCTAGCATGTTTCTATCATAAGCATGTTTTTTAACATTGCTAGCATGTTTCTAGCATGATTAGCATGTTTTTAACCTGTTTCTAACATAATTAACATGTTGTTGGCATGCTGTTAACATGTTTTAACACGATTAGCATGTTGCTAGCATGCTTCTAACATAATTAGCATGTTGCTAGTATGCTGTTAACATGTTTTATCATGATTAACATGTTGTTAACACATTGTTAACATGTTCTAACCATGATTAGCATGTTCTTAGCATGTTCCTAGCATTTTTTTTTACCATGATCCGCATGTTTTTGACATGTTTCTAGCATTATTCACGTTTTTAACATGTTTCTAACATGTGTTGCTTACGTTACCAGCATGTTTCTAACATGATTAGCATGTTGCTAGTATGTTGTTAGCATTTTTTAACATGATTAGCATGTTGTTAACATATTGTTAACATGTTCTTAGCATGATTAGCATGTTGTTAGCATATTGCTAGCATGTTTTAGCATGATTAGCATGTTTCTAGCATGATTAACATTTTTTTATCATGATTTTATCATGATTTAACGTATTGCTAACATGAATGAAAAAAAAATCCAGCTAAAAACCAAGTAAAACCTGCTTATTTAGGGGGAAAAAACACTTAAAACCAGCTAAAACCAACAGGTTCAGTGAAAATCCAGCTAAAAAATATCCAAAACCAGGTAAAACCAGCTCATTTAGCAAAAACAGTTAAAAATAGCTGATTTAGCTAAAAACCAGCTCAAACCAGCCTAGGCTGGTTGTCTAGTTTTAGCTGGTTTAAGCTGAAAATAGCTGGTTTAAGCTGTGTTAGTCTTTTAGCAGGTCTCCCAGCTTGACCAGCTAAAAAGACCAGCTAAAGCAGCCAACCAGCTTAGGCTGGTTTTAGCTCATTGTACAAAAGTTTTGACCCCCCTCAATGAATGGCTGTGGGATTTTTTTGGTGGTTTTGATAGTCTGGTTTAGGAAAACCCGTTAGGCGGATCAGTTATAAAAGATATAGCAACCCGAGTCAGACAAGTCTGAAGGTCTGACCCGAGTCTTGTGGTTGTAACTTGAAAGCTTTAGAAGGAGATACTTTTTCAAATGTAGTCTCAGAAGAAGAAGAGGCTTAAATAGCAGATCAGTAAGTTGGGTTTCTCAAGCAAACCTGAATGTTGTCTGCAGCAGTGTGTCCAGCGTGACAGTATGTGAAATGCTGCATGAATGAACCACTGCTCAGGTTGAGCTCACCAAAGCTGCGTTTATTTGATCAAAAATACAGTTAAAAACTGTGAAATATTATTACAATTTGAAATAACTGTTTTCTATTTATCCGTTAAATTATCATTTATTCCTGTGATCAAAGCTGTATTTTCAGCATCATTACTCCAGTCTTCACTGTCACATGATCTTCAGAAATCATAATAATATGCTGATTTGCTGCTCAACTGTAATAACTTATTACAGTGGGAGTATTAAAAATAAAGATAACTTATTCATAAAATTACTATTGTTTTGCATTAATACGTGCAGGTACTAATAACATTACACGTTAATTTGTTCATTTCACGTTTATACACATTTGACAGTAAAGCACTGAGCTTGAGTTGGGAAGCATACAAAATGTACTTTTATTAACGACAATAACGAGTGCAAAATCTAATTTTATATAGGAAATGTATATATTCTACTCTTATTAAATGTACTTAGCTCATTGTACAAAAGTTTTGACCCCCCTCAATGAATGGCTGTGGGATTTTTTTGGTGGTTTTGATAGTCTGGTTTAGGAAAACCCGTTAGGCGGATCAGTTATAAAAGATATAGCAACCCGAGTCAGACAAGTCTGAAGGTCTGACCCGAGTCTTGTGGTTGTAACTTGAAAGCTTTAGAAGGAGATACTTTTTCAAATGTAGTCTCAGAAGAAGAAGAGGCTTAAATAGCAGATCAGTAAGTTGGGTTTCTCAAGCAAACCTGAATGTTGTCTGCAGCAGTGTGTCCAGCGTGACAGTATGTGAAATGCTGCATGAATGAACCACTGCTCAGGTTGAGCTCACCAAAGCTGCGTTTATTTGATCAAAAATACAGTTAAAAACTGTGAAATATTATTACAATTTGAAATAACTGTTTTCTATTTATCCGTTAAATTATCATTTATTCCTGTGATCAAAGCTGTATTTTCAGCATCATTACTCCAGTCTTCACTGTCACATGATCTTCAGAAATCATAATAATATGCTGATTTGCTGCTCAACTGTAATAACTTATTACAGTGGGAGTATTAAAAATAAAGATAACTTATTCATAAAATTACTATTGTTTTGCATTAATACGTGCAGGTACTAATAACATTACACGTTAATTTGTTCATTTCACGTTTATACACATTTGACAGTAAAGCACTGAGCTTGAGTTGGGAAGCATACAAAATGTACTTTTATTAACGACAATAACGAGTGCAAAATCTAATTTTATATAGGAAATGTATATATTCTACTCTTATTAAATGTACCATTATTCTTCTATAGTATTATACTGAACTGACCGACAACTTCAGCGATTATAAAAGGAAGCTCTTTATGTGTGATTCAGTCGCAAACCGAAGAAAAGTTTGTTTTTCAAGGCACTTTGTGACTTTTCTTACTTCATATGGAAAAAAAACATATGAAGGATTTCTTGATGATTTGATATTATATAATAGTGATTTTATGATATCAAAATATAAAGCAAAAAGTGGAAATGAATGACTAATCAGCCAATAAGTGCTCCTCTGCTGCCATCTACTGGTTACAGTGCTAATTTGATGTCTGGTTTTTTTTATTTTACATAAGTGTTTGTTTAACACCACAAAGCATATTTTGGTCATTCCATTAAAAATAACATTCAAATTGGATCATGTTTAGAGCTTCCAAGTGCTAGTCGAAAAATCTTGTCACACCGGCAGAAAAAATGGTCGCAGTCTAGAGCCCTGATTTCTTTCAGACGGTAGTGCATTGGGTCACTTTTCTGAATTTCACAAACGCACTGCTGCTGGGTTCCTCACAGAGCTTCTTCTGTG